ATCCCCGATTTGGCCGTCCCCCAATGGCCGTCCCCCAAACCGCTCGAGCGTGAGCCTCCTTTTCCGATGAAAATTTAGCCCGCGCCTCGGCGAGAGCGCCCGGGCGCCTCTTAAGGTGTCCGACAGTAAGAAGTGGCACGTGCGCAGTGGTTCTTGCACAAGAAGGAAGGGGGAGGAGGAGGAGGCGGAGGAGGAGGGGGGGAAGAGGGGGCAAGACACCGCCCCTCGGGGTCCATCGACGGGGCCCGAACCCCCAGGTGGGGCAGGAGGGGGGGAGGTGGCGTGCGTCGCGGCGCGGAGTAAAGTGCTCGGAGCGGAGGGGTCACGGGGCGGAGGTTCCACTGGGGCGTTGGGGGCGCGGAGAAGAGGGGGGGTAGGTGGTGTGCGTCGCGACGCGGAGTAAAATGGTCGGGGAGGAGGGGGCACTGGGTGGGGTTTGGGGCAGAGGGCCACGGGGCGGGGGTCCAACTGGGGCGCTGGGGACGGGGGGAGGTGGCGTGCGTCGCGACGCGGAATAAAATTGTCGGGGCGGAGGGGGCACCTGGCAGAGCCCCCATTGGGGCGTTGGGAACGCGGGGAGGGAGGCGCGGGAGGTGGTGTGCGTCGCGACGCGGAAGTACGCGTTCGTGGCGGAGGGGGCAGTAGGCGGGGCTCCCGCTGGGGCGCTGGGGACGCGGGGGGGTCCGGAGCCGAGAGCCACAGAGCGGGGGCCCCTTTCTGGCCCTGGGTGCGGGGGGGGGGCGCGGAATACAGCGGTCGGAGCTGTAGACACCTTGTGCAAGATAATACTTGCTTAGTAATTAACATTCAACAGCAGCAGCAACACTAATCATTTTAAGACTGATTGCTCTTATCTGCTCGCGTGTCATTCAATCTGCAGATGGATACCCGCCCTTTTCGTCTTCGGTCGTGCCCCCTTTTGGGGGGGTATATTCATTCCCTGCCACGCGGGGTTGGTAAAGCCCTCGAAAACGAAGGGCAACATATAACGGGAGATAGCAAGGACGAAGGGATCGGAGGAAGGGGGGAAGGGGTAAGAAGGAGGGTGGACGATTATTTGCACTGCGAGTTGCGATTCAGCTTGCGCCGTGGTTTGCGCCAGCCACTCCATCACAGGTTAACAATAAGTTTCGCCATGGGTCGCGCCGTAAACAGCGCCCCGTACCACCCCTTTGAAATAACATATCGTGGATACCCCACGGGGGGACGTACAGCTGCGAACTGGTGTCAGAAACAAATGTCGTGGAACTCTGAAAAGAAGCGGGATGTTGGGGGAGTGGGGCGGAAGGATCGTGAGAACTGCAACCGTGTCGAGAAGAGCGCGGGGATGTGGAGTGGATTGGGATGGGGTGGACAAGAGTAGAGTCTCAAGAGGAGGAGCGGCAAGGAGTGGAGAGCAGGAGCCGGGTGGAGTGCGGAGGAGCGGGGGGTACACGGAGGAATCTGAACGAGGGACTCGGCATAATTTTGGAGAAATGCGGAATGCGAGCGGGAGGGGTGGAGATTATTGGGGTGGGATTGAGTGGCCTGGGGGAGAGCGGGCGGAATGCGAAGAACTGAGGAATAGCACAATGGAGTACAAACGACATGAAAATGAAGATAAAGGGAAAGAGCAGAGAAGACTTGGAAAAAACGTTGAAATGTGGGGGCAGGTGGACACGAGCGGAGACTGGTGCGGAAACAAGGCGCGGGGGGGTTGGAAGGCACCCGGAAGCCTCCCATGACTTTTGGGGGGCCTCGGAATGGCCCCGATGACCACCGAGCAGTCCCAGAGGTTCCGAAAACCTGCGGGGACGCCCTGGGGGCCTCGTCGAGGGAGACCTTCATTCGAAGCCTGCAGAAGAACCTGGGCCAGTGGAGCACGCGCGTCTCAGAGGCCGGCAAACCGGGCCCCGGCAAGCGGCGGACCGCCGGCCTGGCCAATGGCAACGATGGCGATGTACACACCGACCCGCGACAACCCGACCCCAAGATGAACAGACAGCGGGTTCACCACGACGACGACCGCGACGAGAAGAGGGAGGAGGAGGAAGAGGAGGAGGGAGGAGGAGGAAGAGGAGGAAGGGAGGGAAGGAGGGAAGGAGGGAGGAAGGGAAGGAGGAGAGGGAGGAGGGTGGGGGCTGAAGGGCCGACAGGCTGGCCTTCGGCAGGCTGCGAGGCAGTCGCACGGATTATCGGCCTGGCTGGCTGAAGGGTCGGAGTGCCGGGCTCCACGCAACAGGCGGCTGGGCCCCGGCCGCATGCCGCCTGACAGAGGGCAGCGACGGGTCCGTCGAGGGCAGAACGGGGCCACGAAGGGCAGAGGGGGGCCACGAAGGGCGACAGCGGGGCCACGAAGGGCATGCATACGGGGCCGCGACGGGCGCGAACGAGCGGGGGCAACGAAGGGCATTCGCATATGGGGCCACGATGGGCGACAGCTGGGCCATTGATGGCGGCTAATGGGCCACGAAAGGCAGCGAGAGGGCCGCGAAGGGCGACGGCGGGGCTACGAAGGGCATACGTACGGGGCCACGGCGGGCGACTGCGAGCGGGGGCCACGAAGGGCATATAATGCGGGGCCACAATGGGCAGCGACGGGCCGCTGAGGGCAGCAACGGGGCCACGAAGGGCAGCGAGCGAAGGCGACCGCAGAGGGGGCCACGAAGGGCGACGGCTGGGCCACGAAGGGCATGCGCATGGGGCCACGACGGGCGCGAACGAGCGGGGGCCACGAAGGGCATTCGTATATGGGGCTACAAAGGGCGACAACGGGGCCACGGAGGGCAGGAAAGGAGCCACGAAGGGCAGCGAGAGGGCCACGAAGGGCGACGGCGGGGCTACGAAGGGCATGCGTATGGGGCCACGACGGGCGACTGCGACCGGGGGCCACGAAGGGCATATAATGCGGGGCCACAATGGGTAGCGACGGGGCCACTGAGGGCAGCAACGGGGCCACGAAGGGCAGCGAGCGAGGGCGACCGCGGAATCAGTGCGGGCAGCGAGGGGCATCGAAGGCGGGCGAAGGGCAGCGAGCGGCGACTGCAGTACCTAACGGGCTGGTCGGCCGGGCAGGACCAGACGGGCGGGTCGAGCGGGCGGGTCGTTGAAGCGTAAATTTTGTTTGATCCGCCAGGCAATACGTAGCGGGAGCGCGATCCCTGAGTGTTGAGGAGCGACATCTGAATAAATTGTGAGGAAGTATCAGGCGGGAGTCGCGATTCGGTGGTAAGTTGCGGGGAAGTCCCAAGCGAGAGCGCGATTCTTCAATCCATGGTGAGGAAGTATCAAGCGGGAACCGCGATCCGGTGGTAAATTGCAAGGAAGTCCCAAGCGAGAGCGCGATTCTTCAATACATTGTAAGGAAGCATCCGGCGGGAACCGCTGTTGCCGTAATCCGGGAGCCAACAACGCAGTTTGACCTTCAAGATTTTCTTTGACAAAAAACAGGGTGCGAGCCCCGGGAAGGGCACTTCAATCGAAACAACATGTGCGCCGGAGGGGGGATCAACAATAACGATTCTTTAGAAGTGAGAGTTCAACAACGACGACGACGACAACAACTACGAGAACGACGACACCAGCAGCAGCAGCAGCAGCAAAACCAACAGCACCAGCACCAACAGCAGCAGCAACAACAACGCAACAAACATAATCTCCACCACGGGGTCTTCATCTGAGCCACGCGCCCAGGGACAATGGATGACCGCTCGGCTCTCTCGCCCTTAGTCCTCATCTTCCTCCTCCTGCTCCTCCTCCGTTATTTTCTTTTCCTGTTCCTCCTCCTTTTCCTCCTTTAGTTTCTCCTCCTCCTCCTCCTCCTCCTCCTCCTCCTCCTCCTCCTCCTCCTCCCCCCGGGGGAGGGATACGGATCTTCGGGAGCCTCCTCCGCGAAACGGTGGACTGGATTTTCGTTCCCGCGTGCGCACTGCCGGGGAGTTGTTCGATGAGTCCTCTTCCTTTGGAGCCGTCGCCGAAGCCTCCGATGCCTTCTGAAAAGGCCCTCTGCCTTCTGAGAAGGCCACCCCCCTCAACTCACCTTGGCTAGTTTCCACTGGGAGAAGGCAGCGTCACCACCGCTACACTTGACGTACGCCCGCATTACCTTTAGGGCTGAGCATCATTCAACCGCCCAAAGCCCCCAAACCGCTAAAACCAACGTCGAAATGAGAAGCAGGATGTCGGCGGCGAGCGCGGGGGGGACGTGAGAAGAAACATGTCCCAACAGAAGGCGGCGGGGCTTCCCAGAAGCCTTCCGGCCTCCTCACGAGATTTCTGCGTCTTCCGGAGAGGCTTAGAACACTCCCCCGCCTCAAGATACGGCCCGCCCCTTCTCACCTCCCCTTTTGGGGCTTGCCGCCGAGGAGAGGCAGTCGGGCGTCGCGTAATGGGCGGACGATACACGGGGGGGGGCGGGGCGGCCAGGGCCAGCTTAGAACACACGACGCGCTGGTCGTTGAAAGTAGGTACTTCTGGACTCCCAGATTCGGGGGTGGACAGAACCCCCAACAGTGACACGTCGATTAGTGAATTGTCCGTTTTCGGTTCTCGAGAGGGCACCGCGGCCGTTATTTTCCAGGCTTGCGCCCGCCAGGTTTGGGCCTCAGGTCGTTTTCGCTAAACCACGTTTTACTAAAGGGAGGTCTGTCCATCCCCGACAGATCCCAATCTACTTAAGTCGCCTTCCTACTTCAAGAGTCGAGTGGCTTTCCCTCTTCCCTTCATTTCGGCGGGCGGGGAGAGAGCCAATATACTTCCAGCGCCATCCTCTTTCATGGCGCGACCTACCTCTTCCGACCAACAGGTAGGTGGGAGTGCAACATGCTACTGCGCAATGGATCGAGCGCGCCGTCCAGTTGTGCGATCGCCGTCTGCACGCCCTCCCCCTCACTCACCTCCCCGGGCATGCTACCTCCTAGTCAAAGTGTTTGTTTCCATGAAAGCCTGAGTTCCTCTCGAGGCCCTTACCATACGAGGATGGTTAGAGGGCGAATGATGACGACGATCAGCAGCAACCGCAGGTGGTTGCTGGACGGCGGGGGCGGCTTCGATACTATGCTGTCGGACATTCCGTACAAGGTTCGGGTCTGTTATTGTTGCCCGGTGTTTCAAAGTCCGCACGGTTTGTTTTAATCAGGTGTTCTTCATTTGAAGAAGAAGAAGAAGAAGTCGAGGTCAGGCTTGTCATGGGGAATCGCATTGCGTTTGTCGGGCTAAACGATGAAGCGAATCGGGCTTACAGAGATCGTGTAGTTTGCCTTTCAGGGCGCATCTGCATGACATTGCAAACGCAGGTTTGAAACTATCATACGGATATTGAAACTGATTGCCCATGGTAACGTAAAGTGCGATGTAGCAGAGAATCAGGGCAGGGGCGATGCAATGGAAACTGAGGGGAGATAACATTCTGCAGGACAAGGGCGGTCCAGTAGTCGCAGACAAGGTTCGTCATTGCACGGCTAGGGAAGGTGCGACACTGTCAGGTAGTGGCAGGGCCATCCTCTGTCGCTCCCTTACTACTCATCGTCCTTCTCATTCGTCCCCTTTCTCTCCCCCTCTTCTCGCTGCAGGCCATCTCCCTCTTTCGAGGGCGATCTCCTATGTGCATCTTGTTTGGACTATGGCGTGGGCAGGCTCAGGCTGGACGTGTTATGTGTGCTTTGTTGTTATCTCGTGGCCTTCGATCCATACCGCCATCGCGCTTGTGTCCAGACATGCTCTCTTAAGATGCCGTGGCTTCCCCATTGCCAGCTACTCGGACGACGACGACGACCTCTCCCGCTTTGCGAGGAGCTGGGTCGAATAGCGTCTCCGTCGTGGGCCTCAATCTTTTTGAGCAGGCTGGTACGCGTGCGGCTGGTCTTTGTCAGAGTAAACAAATCTCTGAAGATGCCCTTTGGGCCATCGCGGGTGGCGTCTGGGAGCCCTCATAGGGGGCCGCTCGTGAGCCTTTTTTTTGGGGGGGGGGCCGCTGTGGCCTCTCTGCGGCGCCGCTGGAGGGCCTCGGCACCTTTTGGCCGGGTGGTTTCCTGCTCCGTGGCGGCGGTTTGATCCCCCTCCTCCTCCTCCCCCCCCCCTCCTCCTCCCCCTCCTCCTTCTCCTCCTCCTCCTCCTCCGCCTCCTCCTCCTCCTCCTCCGCCTCCTCCTCCCCCTCCTCCTCCTCCTCCTCCTCCTCCTCCTCCTCCTCCTCCTCCTCCTCCTCCTTCTGGAACTTGGGAGGGAGGTCCACCCTGGACTCCTTCTCCGAAGTGTGAATCGGCCCTTTCCCCTCTTTCCAGGGCCAGCGTTCAGCTGGCCCCTCGTGGACCTCGCTGCTCACATTCAGAATGCACGATCGCTTATATCAAGTGTGAACGCATAGCATCCCAGCCAGACCAGTATTGACCCCCTCCCGTTCACCTTGCAACATAATTGTACGTGGTCTACACGTTTTGACATAACCAGTGCGTTTCCTACCTTTCCAATGACAAGTGTTAACGCTTCGCGTATCCCCACAAGCATTTGACAGGCCCGTGGCCCGGACCTCTCAGCTCGGCGACTGCGAATCCGCGTCTGCCCGCGACCAAAAAAAAATATCCCTACCAGCCCATCCAGAACCGATGCCCTGGCGAGTTGTCGCATGAGCCTTGCATGTTCCTCTTTGATCCAACTTGGGAGCAGGAGGGGGAGGAGGAGGAGGAGGAGGAGGAGGAGGAGGAGGAGGAGGAGGAGGTGAAGGAGGAAACGGAAAAAGAGAAGGAGTGGGAGGAAGCCTTCGCGGATATAGTGTTGCTACGTGAGTTTCTTGGAGGGTTCTTCGAACCACGTGTTGGTGCTCCTGGGGCTCTCTCGGAGCCTTCTTGGGGCCGTGTTGCGGGGTCTTGGGTCTCTCTTGGAGGGGGGGGGGGGCGAGGTCTTGGGGCACTCTTGCGGCGATGTTGGGCCCCGTTGTTTTAAAAAGGGGGTCCCACTGAGGGTCGGTCCTTCGGACGTCGACGACTGGCCTTTTGGAGCCATGTTGGGGCGCTCTCGTGGGCCGGTCGGGGGGATTTTGCGTCTTGGCGCACAGGGCTCTACTGGACCATCTTGGGGCCATACTGAGGCCCCAGAGGCCCATCGGAGGCGAATCGACGACAAGACTGATATGTTTGACAGTGGGCCTCTTGGGTGGGGGTCCTCGGGGGGGAGGCTCCGCGTGCAGTTCGGGTCGTCTTTGGGCACCTTGGGGGTATGTTGGAGGCCATCTGGAGCCATCTCTTCCTCCTCCCCTTCCTCCTCCTGCCCTTCCTCCTTCTCCTTCTCCTCCTCCCCCTCCTCCTCCTGGTACTACCTCGCGCCATATTGGCGGCCATATCAGGCTAGCAGAGGCCAGCTTGGAGCCATCATGTTCCGAGAAGGGGCTGCCTGACACGTCGCGCCCCCCCGCCCCCCTCCCCCCTCCTGGGAAGGAGGGGGGAGGGATACACCCGTCCAACTACAGTGAGCGGCTTGAGTAAGGAACACTTATTGTTCAAAAGGGGCTCGGTCGTTCCTTGGGTTTTACGTGCGTTATTTCCAGATCCTTATGCGTTATCTATTATGTATCGTTATTTATGCGTTATTCCTTGAGATAAAAAAGGAGCTTCGTTCCTTATTCATCGTTCCTTAGGTCAGGCCGATGATTGTACTCGCGCCATATTGGCGGCCACATTAGGCTGTCAAGGGCCTGATTGGAGTCATCCTGTCCCGGAAACGGGGGCCGCCTGGCACGTCGCGCCCCCCCGTCCCCCCTCCCCCCCCCCAGGAAAGGGGGGGGGGTACGCCCGTCCCCGCGCAGGGGAAAAATTGGAGATTGGAAAGGAGAGGTAACAGTCCATGATGCCATCTATCTAGGCCTCCTGGATGTGGTCCGAGTAGATGGGGTCGGAGAATCGCGCCGCAGCGCCGATGCATCTGCGATGCGGCTCGATGTGGAGTCCGTGTTTCCCCACGCCGACGTCGCCGATACATCGCCGCTGCATCGCCGATACATCGTCGATGCATTGGCGATGCGGCGCGATCCTCCGACCCCATCTGCTCGGACCCCATCTGGGAGGCCTCTTATCTATTCCCAGGAGGGGCTGGTGTGACATCACGCGGGGAGCACTTGCGCCAACATGCTTGACCCACTCAAGCACAAGCGGTTTTCTACATCAGCGGGCACGCATCAATAGCAGCACGCACATGTCAACAGCACCCGGCATCCTTACCACGCGCGCCTTCTTGCTGAGTTCCTGAGAAGCCAAGTCTTGCTCGAGACATGATTCTGCGCGACAAGCGTCCGCGCGTCGGTGCACCTCTTGAGATGTGTTAAGAATGTTATACTGGCCACGTTCGATGTTGTACCTGCCACTTTCAAAAACGCGGCCTTCTGACTCTTGCCATCCACCGTCATGGTTGTCGGCGTCGGCATCATCGCCCTCCCGTCCGAGAAAGGATTCTGCGAGAAAGAAGGGTCCACGTGCCACTACGCGCCCTTTTGGAGGCCTGCTGGGCCTTGTTGGGAGGCTCGTGGGGATCTCTGGAAGGCCCCTCGGGGGCATCGTGGAGGGCACGTTGGGGGCCTCTTGGGGCCTCTCGGGGAAGTCCCTTAGAGGCCTCGAGACGCCACGGCGCGCCTTCTCGAGGGAGGTGTGCCCACTCCGCGGTGCGGGCCGCTTCCATCGGGGCGCGCGAAGGCCCGCCGCACAGCACGCTGTGGGTGGGCCTGGCTGCGCTGCTCCAGGAGCCTCTGCGGGCCTCCTGTCGAGGCTACGTGGAGGGGGGAGGGCCATCCCAGGGCGGGGCTGGGGCGCGCTCCCCCGCCGGCTGCTCGCACTATTCCCTGCCTCCAGGAGCTGCGTGGAGCGGTCTTCCTCCTCCTCCTCCTCCTCCTCCTCCTCCCTCCTCCCTCCTCCTCCTCCTTCTCCTCCTCCTCCTCCTCCTCCTCCTCCTCCTCCTCCTCCTCCTCCTCCTCCTCCTCACTCCCCCTCTGCCCCCCAACTTCTGCTCGCGTGCAACTCCTGGGAGGTCAAATTCTGACTCCGCCGACTTGGTCCAGAATCCGGCGCAAGCCGGCTTCATCCTGCTGAATCCGGCTTCCTCCCGCTCAATCTGGCTCGGTCCCGCTTGATCCGCGGCCGAATCCGGCGCAGCGGCCCTCCTAGTGGGGTTTCGCTCCCCCGGATCCCTCCGACGAGGGCCTCCCAGCAGTTGCCTCCCAACTCCACCTCTGCCCTTAGGGTTTACCCCCCTCCTGCGCTCCCCCCTGGCCTCTGGCCGCCACACCCCAAGCGCGACCTTTAACAGTCGAGGTCGGGCCATGGGCTCTCGCGAAGCCAGAGAGCTACACGGAGATGTGTCTCTTAATGTTGCGTGTTTGTGTGTTGTGTGTCGCCTGATGCTTCTCTTATTATTACTATTATTATTAGTAGTACTATAATTATACTGATTATTATGAATCTTATTATTTTGTTAGTATTATTATTATTATTAATATTGTTATTACCATTATCATTATTACTAGCATTAGGTTTGTCATTATTATTATTACTATTATTAATATTAATATGTTTATTATTCGTGTCATTAGTGTTGTTGTTGTTGTTGTTATTATTATTATTAGTATTATTATTATTATTATTTATTATTATTATGATTATGATTATTACTATTAGTATTATTATTATTATTATTAATAGTATTATTATTAGTAGTATTAGTATTCTTATTTTAGTGTTAGTATTATTGTTCGGATCAGTATTATTATGTTATACAACGTTTATATATAATAATAATACTAATACTAATAATAATACTAATAATAATAAACTGCGCTCCCCCGGCACCTGGGCCCCCCGCAGGCCGAGAGGCAGGCCCGCGCGCCCGAGGACGACCTCGGCCTGCCTCCTCCTCGTCCTCGGGCTCGCTCGACCCCAGAGGCCTCGATCGGGGGGGCCGCCTCGGGCCCCCACGGTCCGAGGAGGCCGTCTCGGGCCGTCTCGGGCCTCCTCGGGGGCCGTCTCGGGCCGTCTCGGGCCTCCTCAGAGGCTTCCTCGGGGGCCTCCGGGGGCCGTCTCGGGCCGTCTCGGGCCTCCACACTTCTCTGCCCCTCTCGGGGGCCCCCAAGGAGGGGTGGAGGCCACGCCGTGCGGAGAGTCGGTGGGGATTCTCTAGGCCTCCTGGATGGGGTCCGAGTAGATGGGGTCGGAGGATCGCGCCGCATCGTCGATGCATCGGCGATGCGGCTCGATGCATCGTCCTCCACGTTGGCGTCGCCGATGCATCGCCGATGTCGCCGATGCATTGGTGATGCATCGGCGATGCATCGCCGATGTATCGGCGATGCGGCGCGATCCTCCGACCCCATCAAATCGGACCCCATCTAGGAGGCCTCTAGATTCGGGGTCACCGCACGGTTTTGGGGCTCGGGTCCCTCTCCGAGGACGTCTCGGGCGGCGGGGGCCTCCAGGGCCCCAAGACCGTGCGGTGACGGACCGTGCGGTGAGGTCCCTTGGGTTGCCGAGGTCTCCGCACGGTCTGTCACCGCACCGCTTCGGGACTCCAAACCCTCCCCCCGCCTCCCCCTTCTTGGGGCCCATCCTGGGAGGCCCTCGTCGCCACCGCTGGCTTCGCCCCGCGGGAGCCCGGTCAGAGCGTGCGCCCCCAGGAGGGGTCCGGGGAGAGGAGGAGGAGGGGGAGCAGGAGGATGGGAGGAGAGGAGGAGGAGGAGGAGGAGGAGGAGGAGGAGGAGGAGGAGGAGGAGGATGGAGGAGGAGGAGGAGGAGGAGGATGGGAGGAGGAGGAGGAGGAGGAGGAGGAGGAGGAGGAGGAGGAGGAGGAGGAGGAGGCGAGGAGGAGGAGGTGAGGAGGAGGAGGAGAGGAGGAGGAGAGGAGGTAGGAGAAGAGGAGGAAGGAGGGAGGAGGAGGAGGAGGAGGAGGAGGAGGAGGAGGAGGAGGAGGAGGAGGAGGAGGAGGAGGAGGAGGAGGAGGAGGAGGAGGAAGGAGGAGGAGGAGGAGGAGGAGGAGGAGGAGGAGGAGGAGGAGGAAGGAGGAGGAGGGAGGAGGGGAGGAGGAGGAGGAGGAGGAGGAGGAGGAGGAGGAGGAGGAGGAGGAGGAGAGGAGGAGGAGGAGGTGGAGGAGAGGAGGAGGAGGAGGAGGAGGAGGAGGAGGAGGAGGAGGGAGGAGGGAGGAGGAGGAGGAGAGGAGGGAGGAGGAGGCAGGAGGAGGAGGAGGAGGAGGGAGGAGGAGGAGGGGAGGAGGAGGAGGAGGAGGAGGAGGAGGAGGAGGAGGAGGAGGAGGAGGAGGGGAGGAGGAGGAGGAGGAGGAGGAGGGGAGGATGGAGGAGGAGGAGGAGGAGGAGGAGGAAGAGGAGGAGGAGGAGAGGAGGAGGTGGAGGAGGAGGATAGGAGGAGCGGCATCGGTGCCAGTGCGCTTCGTGCCCCCCCCGCTCGTGGGCAGCGAGGGCGAGGGCCCCCCCCCCCCCCCCCGCCCCCGAGGAGTGCGAGAGTCGAGGCATGCGCCCGCTCGCCCTCCGGGCCTCGCGAGCGGGGGGCCGCCCACTGCGGCCCCAGACAATCACCACCCACCAAACCACCCCAGCCCAACCCGAAGGCCCACATTTATCCTCGATTTCCAGTGTGGGGGGGGGGTCGGGGAACATCGAGAAAAAACACATGGAGTCCGTACCCCCCCCAACCCGAAGTTCGGGTCAAACTCGGGCCTTCGGGTCTGGCTGGGGTGGTCTGGCAGGTAGTCAGACAGGGGGAGCCCGGGGAGGGCCGGGCCCCCTCCGGAGGAGCTCGGGGTCCTCGTCCTCTGGGCGCCCGCGGGCCCCCAGAGGCCTCAGGGGCGGTCTCACGGGCTGCACGGGGAGCCCCGGGAGGGCCAGGCCCTCCCCTCCTCGGGGGCGGAAAAGAGGGGGGTGATGACTAGGGGGGGGTGGATATCATGGCGGGGGCCATGATATTTCCCCAGATTTCATGGCGCCCCTTCTTACTTCATTACGTAAATGGCCCCCCCGCTGGGCCGCGCACATGCCGCCGGTCATGATTTGCACCCCCCCCTCTTGGACACCCCCCTCTTGGCCGCTCCCGACCTCCCCCCCCCAGGAGTTTTGGGGAGGACCACCCGGGGCCGTGGGGGGGGGGGTCAATTTCACGGTTCGGGGTTCAAGGGGGGGATTGCGGGGGGGGAAGAATCTCGCACGCCCCGAGACCCACGAGGGGGCGGCGGGTTTCGATCTGCTCCTGCCGATCCTGGTCATGGGCCCGAGGCCTTTTCCATTCTTTTTCCGCGCTCGGTGTCGACTCGCTCCGCGGGTGCCGATGCTGGCTCCGAGAGCCTGCGTTGCGCGAGGCTCCCTGAGCGGAGGGTCGCTTCGTGGCAGCACTGCGCCCGATTGTACGACGACCGATGTAGGATGTGGTGTCTGGCTTTCAGCCAGCGTGCAGCGCAGGCGCAGGTAACTCGATCGCTCGGCACAGCCCGAGCGATACGCGGCCTGCAGCGCAGTTGTTGCGCAGGGGGCGAGGCACGTGGCGGCATCGTGCGGCAGACGCTGGTCCGCCCGATAAATGTGTATACCCTGCCCAAGAGCCCCGTGGGGCAAGCGAGGGTCCTGGTCGTGGGTCTGGCATACAAGACCCCCTCCCTGGAGTGTGGTTCTCTTGCGCAGTGAAGCTGGCCCCAGGCGGTGGAATCGGACTGGGGGGGAGGGGGAGGGCGTGGTGTACAAAAAAAGTCTTGAGGAACCATCGTCTACTGGCGTGGTAGTTTGACAAGGCTGCACCTGAACGCTGTTCTGCTCTGAGTTGTACGTGTGCACCCATGTCGGCACACCCCTCAGACGTTTCGTGGCCCCCTCGGGAGCTCCACCGAAGGCCCCAGTGGATGCGCTCGCATGACACCACGGCAGCCATGTCGGCACACCCTTCACACGATCCGTGGCCTCATAGGGAGCTCCACCGAAGGCCCCAGCGGCTGCGCTCGCATGACACCACCGCGCCCATGTTGGGACACCCCTCAGGCGTTGCGTGGCCCCACAGGGAGCTTCACTGAAATTCCCGATGGTTGCGCTCGCACGACACCACCGCACCCATGTTGGCACACCCTCACACATTTCGTGGCCCCATAGGGAGCTCCACAGAAGGCCCCAGTGGCTGCGCTCGTATGACACCGCCGCACACATGCCGGCACACCTTTTCACACGACTTGTGGCCCCATAGGGAGTTCCACAAAAGGCCCCAGCGGCTGCGCTCGCATAGCACCACCGCGCCCATTTCGGCACACCCGTCACACGTTTCGTGGCCTCATAGGGAACTCCACCGAAAGCCCCGATGGCTGCGCTCGCATGACACCGCCGCACCCATGTCGGCAAACCCCTCACACGTTTCGTGGCCTCATACGGAATTCCAACGACGGCCTCAGCGGCTGCGCTCGCATGACACCGCCGCAGCCATGTCGGCACACCTCTCAAACGGTTCGTGGCCTCACACGGAGCTCCACCAAAGGCCCCAGTGGCTGCGCTCGCATGACGCCACCGCAGCCATTTCGTCACACCCCTCACTCATTTCGTGGCCTCAAAGGGAGCTCCACCGAAGGCTCCAGTGGCTGCGCTCGTGTGACACCGCCGCACCCATGTCGGCACGCCCCTTTCCCGTTTTGTGGCCCCATAGGGAGCTCCACCGAAGGCCCCAGTGTATGCGCTCGCATGACACCACCGCGCCCATGTTGGCACACCCCCCCACACACATTTCGTGCCCCCATACGAAGCTCCACCGACGACGAGATCAACAAGTGCGTTATTCAAAACCGCATATGGCTGGGTCCTTCGCCAGGATAAGTTTGGTTTGCTTGAGTGTGTCGTCTCAGCTTGTGCTGTGCTTTTGTATACTGCAAGTGGCCTCGTGGCGGCACCGGGCGGCTGCCGCTGCCCCCCCAAAAGAGACAGGGGGCGCGGAGGCGAGGCGCGGCGCGCCGCGCGCAGGTGGTCGGCACCGCGCGCGGCGAGGCGGGCCGCGCCCTGCCACCGCCCGCGCGCGCGGGCGGGGGGGGGCAGCGGCGCGCCGCTGCTGGGAGCCGTCCTCGCCCCGGCCCGTCCTCTCCATGGCTAGCTGCACGATCCCCCCTTTTTTTATACGATTCCTCCTGCATAACGACACGATGGCTGCGCGATGCCTCCCTCCATCGGTACAGCCTCCGTGCCCTCTTCCTCGCCCCCCCCCCCCTCCCGCCCCCTCCTGTCACCGTCCCTCCTGGTCCCTCCTGCTGGGTGCCAGCAGGGCCCGATGGGCGGTGCTGCTGGGAGCCTTCCTCGTCCCGGCCCGTCCACCTTCATGGCTGCACGATTCCCCCCTCCATCCCCCAGACGTCGGGCGTCTCGAACAAAAAAAATCGAGGCAGAGGTTTTTCGTAGCTTTGGGCCTGGCCTGTCGGGGCCCTCGCCGGGCTTCGGGACCGTCCAAAAACGACTCGGGGTTAAAACCGGTCCCAAGGAATTGGTCGGGAGGTCGTCCCGGGAGCCTTTTTCGTCCCGGCCCGTCCTCCTCCATGGCTGCACGATTGCCTTGTACGAGGGCTACAAGGATAGCACCAGGACCTCGACACTTAGAATCCAGTCGAGTTTTTTAAGCAGTCCCAGGTAGGTCCATATGTCTGTAGGGCTAAATTTTAGCACGCGGGAAGGTCAGAGCCCCCTCTCCCCGCTCCATCGGCGTGATGCCAGATGCTCTCCTCGAAGCGCTGCGCCGGTTTGGCCTGCCGCGGGAGGTGCTGGCCGCCGTGAGCGCCATCTATTCTGCCAGGAGCTTCGCGGTGAAAGAGTGCGGGCAGATTTCGGCGTCGCGAGAACAAGGAGCGGGCATTTGCCAGGGATGCCCGTTATCGCCTTTCCTCTTCGGGATGGTCATGCCGGTGCTCCTGCACGACGCAAGGAACAGCCTCGGTGACCTGGCAGGACTGAAGGACGAGTTGGTGTACGCGGGCGACACGCTCATCGTCGCGAGCGCATCCGGACACGCTGAGCAGTACATGAAGGCAGTGGAGAAGGCGGGCGCGAACTACGGCCTCACCTTCAATTGGGGGAAGCTCGAAATAATGGCCGTGGGATGCAACGCTGTTATTCGCAGGCCTGACGGGGCTGTCATTCCCCAGAAGGCAAGCGTCGTGTACCTCGGGTCCGTGCTTTCCGCAGACGGGACGATGCAGGCTGAGCTGGGCCGCCGCCTTGGGCAAGCGAGGGCAGAGTTCGAACTTTTACACCGTGTCTGGAACCGCAGCAGCATCCCGATGCATAGAAATATACAGATATACGAGGCGTGCGTGCGAACGAAATTACTGTACAGCTTGCACACGGCATGGTTGAAGCAGGACGAGCTGACCCGCATCGACGCCTTCCAAGCAAGGTGCCTGCGGAGAATCCTCGGGATCCCGCATTCGTACGTCAGCCGAGTGTCTAATGCGGACGTGCTGGCACGAGCGCGCAAGATGAAGCTTAGCAGTACTCTCTTGCAGCGGCAACTCACATACTTTTTCCATGTTGCGTGTAAGGGTGATGACCACCCCTTGCGTTCAGCTATTTTTAGACCTTCCTCCCTCGACCTCCGCCCCCCCCTCCGGCAAGCGGAAGAGCCTTGAGACTCCAAGGTCGATCTATAGTGCGGGGTCGAACTATAATGCGGGGGTTATACTTTTCTGCGGGTCGATCTATATTTCGGGCGCGCCGAAAATAGTTCGACCCGCCGTTTTGGGGCAAACGGGGCTTCAGCGCCCATGCTCGCGCTCACCCCACTGGGAGGGGTCCAACATATATTTGAGCCGACAGCAATGAATGACAACGATACACACAGAAGCGTTCTTTTCAAAGCATGCGCACAATCGGCTGGCCGCAGAACTTAGAGATGCATGCCACCGAAAACGCTCTCATGGACCTCCTTTGGCCCCTCCTTCGGCCAAATGCAGCTACAGATCCACCGAAATCCTCATCCCTATAGTTCCAGTGCTTCGCTGGTTCACCGCCGCCCATGCACAGCTCCAGAAACATGTGCATTTTAGGCTTCACTTTAAAATGGGCAGGAAGCGCGTCTTGCAAAGCGGCCGTCTGCGTGGCAAACTTACTCGAATGCTCTCTAAGAATGTCCACAGCAAATGGGTGATTGTCAGAGAGTGCCTCGTAACACCGACATAAGCTTTTCATCCCTGCGTGAATGGACGATTCTACAGCTGCCCGCTCGTCGACGCCATTCCTCCTATCAAGGAAAGCCTCCGCCATCTCCAATGCCCATGGAACCATGTGCCTGAGCATCCCCGCGCCGCACCTCATCTTAGCCGTCGTTGCTTTTTTTCCTTTCACAACGCCCCGCGTCAGTCTCGATAGGCGGCTGGTCTTCTCACCTGGCGGCTGCCTGTCGTAGAACGCCATCAAATGACCATGTAGTGTGGAGACGCGGCCTTTCTGGGTAGTTCCAGCCACCTTTTTGTGCGTTACAAGATACCATAGCAAACCCCCTATGAAGTCAGCCGCTACTCCAAGATCAACAACGTGTAACCAATCTAGCTTCAGCAACTTTTCGTTCGCATACGGCACTTGGAAGAGAGGGCACACCTGCTCGCCTGAAACGATAATCTTCGCAAGGACTTCTGGCCATGTGCGTCGGTGCGTTCTCCACGGCGCGTCTCTCCCAGTCTGCGATTTCACCTGCGGGGAGTAGCCAAAAACACTCCTCCTCCTCCTCCTCCTCCTCTTCCACCCCTCCTCCCCCTCCTCCTCCACCCCCCCTGGAAGGGGCCGCAAAACGACGACGACGCACCCCCTCCCAGAGGGGATTTCCTTCCTCCCCTGATGTGTTGCGCTCCCATGGCCTCGTCCTTCTTGATGTTGCACAGGAAGCATACTTCGTCATCTTGCCAGCCAGGTAGCTTGAGCACCTCCTTCATCATCTTCCAGTCCCCTATGATCTGGCAAAGCACTCCGCCAATTGGTAGGGTTGCATCGGCCACTTGTCGGCGCTTCCTCCAGGCGTCCTGCGCGCCGAAGGGAGAGCCGTCGTGCCGTGCCGCCGGCCAGCGCTTCGCAGCCAAGTGAACAAAGCTCCACTGCACCACTGCAAAAACATCATCAAATGTGTTGGGGCCCACGTGCTCTTTGAGGAACGCTGTGATTGGGACCCGCAGGTTTTTCCAGCGCCCCGCAGCCCCTGGCAACATGAGGCTGATGATCTCTGCGCTCATCGATCGGTCCCAAAAGCAAGGGACCCCGTCCTGCCACGCGCCCAGGGCCACCAGGTCGTTGCAACCACTCTCCGCCCTGGCTCTTTGCACGTGGCGCAGAGACACGCCGTCGAGACTCGACGTATCCAGTAGCACGCTCCGCTCGCCAAAATGATGAAGTTGATGAAGTATTTCGTGAGGAAGCATCATCGCTAAGTCCATCAGTTGTTCTGTTTCAGACTTGGGGTCCCAGCCCCTCACCTGGCAGTGATAGAGCGGAGGCCACCCTTTCCTGAAGAAATCCCGCCTGAACTTCCTGGCAGCGTTTTTCATGCCCGACGTTGACTCCGTAGTGTGCAGGTCGGAGAGACCTGTCGCAGATGCAGAGACGCAGTCATTGATCAGCTGAGCGCCGCGCTGCCCGCTGACCACGTTGCTGCTTATCAGGTCCTGCACGTTCGCTCTCAGCCGCCTCTCCGGCGGCAAGCCCAACCTGTCATAAGGCAACCGCCGCCTGGAAAGCATCCCGCGGGGCCCGCGGGAGACAGGCGCGAGCGCGGCGGCCTTGAGCCACTGCAGTGGCTACGGACATGCGCGGCTGAGGCAAGGGGCCCTTGCCCTTTCCCGCGCCCCTCCTCCGCGCCCTCCTTCAATCCCTTTCATGCCCCTCCCCTCCTGCTACTCCCCTCCTGATGATACCAAGCCCCCCTCCCCCCCGCCCCCCCCTCCCCCCCCGCCCCTGCGATGAGGGGGGCTTCTTTACTGGCAAACCCAGAAACACGCGGCCCCTCACGAAGGGGCACCCCTGGCAGAGGAAGCGGCAAGTTCTCGTTTTCCCACGGGCGTCGGAAAGGCAGCGCTGCATGCGCGTCGTCGGGCGAGGCAGAGCATCTCAAACCCTACTGCATATATGCATGTAAATACTGATATGTAGATGTAGATGTAGGGCCGCAGCTCAATTGAGGAACTTCTTGAAGCGCTTGACCGAGAGCTGAATGCCCTCGTACATGTGCTCGTGTGTGTTGTAGGCGGCCTGGGCCTCATTCTTCAGCTTATCGTACATGTCCGCGTCCTTGCCGACAGAATCAGCGCCCTCAATTTTCGCAATCAGAACCTCCATCGCCGTCTCGTGCTGGTCCGCATTGTCCACGCACTTCTTGCACTCATCGGCCCAGTTCTGGAAGCTCTGACGGTCCTTCTGATCCTGATCCCCAGCCTTCGCGAGCAACTGATTCTTCGTGTGCTTTAGGAACTTCAGCTCCTTCTGATACTTGACCAGCATTTGCCTTGGTAGGGATCATAAACAAGCAATGCGCCGACATGCTTTTCAACGCAAACAACGCACGACAGAACGGATACGAACCAGTTTCTATCGCCATCCCCTCCAGGAGGGGCGGCGGGGGCGTGGCGGGGGAGAGGGCCCCCCTCTGGGAGGGGTCTGGCAGAGCACCAGAGATGGAAGGGCAGGGGGCGGCTGCCGAGGACGGCGCGCGATCTCGTCCTTCTTACTCACGATCTCTGGCCAGTGCGGATTCTCGATCTTCACCTCGCCGCCCCCACCCGACCCCGAAGCGCTGGACGACGGGAGCTCGGCCATCCTGATGCCTGCAGCTTCGAGTTGCTTCAGGTTCTTCAGGTTGGACGTCCCCTTGAAGGTGCGCGAGTCCTTCGTCGCCAGCTGGTCATCGTCCATGTTGCGCTCGACGAAGTACCACTCCTTCCACAGAGGCCTGACATCTTCCTTGATGGGGAATTCTTCTTTGGTGCCATGCTCTTCGCTGTTCTCCTCCCACCATTCCTGCA